ATCTACAGAGCACACACACACACAAAAGAATTTTCTGCTAAATGAGAACCAAACTCATAGAATATTTGAATATAGAAAAAAGGTCCATATGCAAAATAACTTGCAGAGGGAGAAATGGCATGATTTGGCCATTGGTTGAAAAGGAAAATAAAAGAGATGGAGTAAAATTTGGCTCCAACTTTTGAAACCTGGGAAGTAGGGGAATTAAAGTGATCTGAGGCATGTTGCTTAGAAGGAACATTGACTTTGCCACACATTTTTTTTTTTAAACAGAGAAGTTTCAGCAGAGTGACTCCAACAGAAACTAGTCACAAATCGCTGAGGAGTAAGTGGTGAGGAAGCAGGAAGAAGAGAGCAGAGTGCAAAGATTGAATAAGCAGGGGTAAAGGAAAGGGAGATAAAGGGTCATGGCTGGGACATTGGCCCACTTAAGAAAGGGAACTTTGGGACTGGGGGCAGGGTAGCCCATTTTAGTCATAAGAACAATCTGGTAATAACAAATGGTTTTTGAATATTTGGTACCTTATGGATTGCAAATTATCTTATGTTCTCAAAGCAATAGTTTGAAAATGAGCAAGGTAGCTAATGTCCTAAATTTATACAGAGATCATCACAACAGTGACAGGCAACAGAGGTGAACCTGTTTCTGCAGCGTAAGGCCACAAATGGAGCAAGAGACTGTGGGTGCAAGGAAGAACCCATTTTTTGGAAAAGCAAACATCCTAGTAGAAGGAGATGGACAGAAGGGCACAGAGGGGAAAAAGTCAGAATGTGCGTCCTCAGAGACAAGCACCCAGGCGGGCAGAAAGGATAAAAATGCAAAGCTATTCTGAGTGGCAGAGGAAGTCAGGTGGCTTTGAACTTCTCAGTACATGATGGAGTTAGTGGACCTAAAAGTCATTATGCAAACCAGACCTGCACTGGCTGTAAGATCTCTAGTGAATAGACATGGAAATGGCAGCACCTTCAAAAACCAGAAGACATTTGCAGAAGTTTCTGTAATAAAATAGGGTAGTGCATGATCAACTGAGTCTTCATTTTAGTATCAGTGCTGATTATAGTACCTGTAAAAATAAAATCCTATTTTCAACACATTTTGATCAAGTTTAGTTAGTAGCTCCTGCTAATCTACCAGCTGACCTTTTGGCATTACTGTGAGTTGGATACTATGGAAGTCATTAAGTATAATTATTTTAATGATAAGGCAAAGCTATGAGAATCTACAATATTCTTAGGAATAGGTGGACTGGTTCTAGTTATATATATATATATATATATACACGGCCATGCTTTTTGTATGATGCTATTTTATAGTAATATTTGTTGAAGAATTTGTAGAAATAGAGTTGCCCTAGTGATATACTATTTAGGAGAAAAATAAAACATCGACCCATACGTGGTCACTGCTGCTGTTAGCCATTATAGCCATTATAGACATTACCTCACCAATACAGACACAGTTTTCATCAAGCAGCTGACAAACAAGGAGAAATGTAAACAATGAGAGTCAAATCATCTCCTTTGGTCCAAACAATTGATGACCTCTATACTTTATCTCCCTAATGTCACTCCTTTGGAGAGGACCATAGTAACCTCCAGCTCATTCCATACTTGCCAAAGGACCTCAGGAAAATTGATTAATTTTCTGAGCCGCCATTTCATAGCTGCAAAAAGGAGACACAGTGCCTGGTGTTAAGTTCAAGCATTATTATAGATACTGACCAAGACAGAAAAAAAAAATCTCTACTTTGTTGGATCTTACCTTCTGGGGAAGAGATACACAATACAGCTAATCTCCCTCAAGGATAAATGCCAAGAAGCAAATAAAACACGATGTTGTGAGGGAGAGAGTGAAAGAGGAGTATGCACTGTAGGTGGAAGGTTCAGGGAAGGCTTCTCTGAAGAGATGACATCTGAGCTACATCTGCATGCAAAAGCACCTATTTGAGTCTTACAGCAATCTATAAAACAACAATTATTATCGATCCCATTTTATAGTTGAAGAACCTGAGGCCCCGAGAATTTAAAGGACCTGTTCAACACCTCAGAGCAAACAGGTGGATTAGTATGTAAACCCAGGCAATCAGACTCAGGAGGTGGCAGTCTCGCATGCAGCATCACAGAACCTTCCTGACATGACCTACTCAAGGTCACAGAGTTAGAGCCCCCTCCAGATTCTAAGGACTGGGTTCTCTGGCCTGTTGCAATGTGCAGGGGAAACTAAGCAACAGAAGTCAATATAAAGTACATTTTCCAATAGTGAAGCATAAATAAAGGCATCCAGGACTGAGAGACAAACGAGTCGTGGATGGGGCTGGGGTGTAGCGTGGTCGTGGTGCCTGGCCTCGCATGCACAGGGCCTGGGGTTGAACCCCAGCACTAGGAAGAAGGAAGACAACTGGGACATGTGAACAGACATGCATGGAGCTTTCTTTTAAGGTAAAGTATGCCCCAAGCCAGGTGGTGGAGAAAGAATGCTGGCAGAGACTCCTAGGCCGGTGTGTCCCAAGAGCCCCTGCAGATGGTTCTCAGAACCCAGTAGCAGGTCTTGCCTCAGACCCCAGGCCAGCAGGGAGGAGTGCTGCCCACCCTCAAAGCCACACAGAGGGAAGGCCGAGAGAAGTGTTCAGATGCGTGACAGGAGATTATCAGAGACCTTGTCTTCGCTCTTCTTATTTTATTACTGTTTTTAATTTTAGGAGTTTTGAGAACAAAATGACAACACCCAGAAATTCCTTGAGTGGAACTTTCCCTACCAAGGGCCCTATCTCCATGCAACCTGCTCCAAAAGTAAACCTCAAGGGGACGCTGCCGCTGGCGGGCCCCACCCAAAGCTTCTTCATGAGGGAATCTAAGGCCTTGGGGGTAAGTCAGTCACCCTACACTCCAAATCCTAGAGCAGATGCTGCAGGCCATGTGTGGGATTCAGTCCAAAGTGAAGGGGTGTCATCCGACCTGGCATGCTCCCTATGTGACACAGCAGGTCCATTCAGGGATGTGCCAAAGAAGTTTTATCAACCGGGTCACCGTAGGGGGTCTGATGTCACCATTGCTTTAGAAGTATGTAGTTTTGAGGGCCCTTCATCTCAGTCTATTGCTAGAATGCTTGTTTCCTGGAAATGTCCTCTAATGATGGGAAAAATGTATCTGAAGAAGAAAAAGGCAAAATCCTTGGCACCACTGCTTCTTCCTATCGGCAAGTGGCAGGGTTCCTAGTTAGTGCCAAGGCTTCCCACCTGCCCTTGCCGACCAACAGTGATGATTTCATCCGCCGTCCTCCTCCTCTTCTCTCCCAGGCTGTCCAGATCATGAATGGGCTCTTCCACATGGCCCTGGGAGGGCTGCTGCTGATCCCCACGGGGGTCTATGCTCCCATCTGTGTGACAGTGTGGTACCCCCTCTGGGGTGGCATTCTGGTGAGTGAAAAATATAATGACTTCTTATAAAATGGTGAAAAAAGTACTAAAAAAAATTGTAGACCATTTGTGTACTGAGGAAAGTGCATGGGCAGGAAATAGATTATTGGTTCGGTGGGAAGAGAGGTTGGCTAAACAGAGGGAGCGCAGCTCCCAGGGTTGAGGGTTAGTGCTCATGCTTCAGATGAGTTCAGAAAAAGATGCTCTGTGTGACCCACACTGGGAAGAAAGAGTGTTCCAAGCTGGGCCTCCCCAGTCGATTCTGGAGGTGAGGAGGCACTCGATGTTTGGTGTTTAGGAAACCAGAGGCAGCATGTCCGCCCATCTGCTCTTCTTCCTTATAACTGTTTACTTACTATGGCCCCTGGTGAAATTAGTCCCAACCCAAATAAATTTCCCTTTATGAGCTCAGCAACTTTCCCTTGGGCTGTGTCATTTGCAGGTTTTCCAAACCTGAAATCCCATCTGAGAATGGCATGGGACATCCATGATGTTTATTTCCCCAGGGCACTTTTCCTGGCTGCCACTGTGAGACCAGAGTTGAGAATTTCAGAACAAATAGAAATGAGTTAGAATAAGAGCTTCCCACTGATTTGCAGCTTTAACATCAGGAAAGGAAGATGAGAAACAACCCTGGTTCTTTCCCGGGGCCGCTGACATTTTAATGAAGTGCCTTCACATTCATCTCTTCCTTCTCTGTCCATTCACACTTCATGGCATCACTGTGGCCCCAAAGAACATTCTCACAAAGAAAAGAAAACTCCTCAAACTTTGTCTTCACACTGATACCCTCTCACCTGTGCTGCACAGGGACGTCAGCCCTAACTGTAGCTTGAAAGACGGTGGTCTGGGGCTGACTACAATCTACACCAATAATGAGTAGTGGTGTTACTGTTGCTGCTGCTTTTTATTTCAATTTGATGGAACAAACTAAGGCATGTCTATCTGCTTGGGGTGCTGATTGACAAGAAAATGTGGGTTTTCTTTGCCCTTTCTATAGTCCAAGTTACACACTCCCAGGTGGTTGAATAACATGGATTGAACACAGGCCAACCTGAATAAGGAAGAAATATGACTGAAGATAAACAAATGCACTTGATTAAAATGGGTTAATGGTTCAGAGAAAATGGCTGGAAATGTTCATGACTTCTTTACAACCAGTTCTCAATGTTAAAATGTGATCTCCCTCTCTCCCCCTTTTCCCAACTCTCCCACCCCCTCCCCCTTCCCCCCACCCACCTCCCCACCTCTCTTCTTATAGTATATTACCTCTGGATCGCTCCTGGCAGCAGCAGAGAAAACCTCCAGGAACAGTCTGGCAAGTAACCATCTGTCCTTCCTTCCCACACATCAGAGAAATAGCTGTTTTCTCAGTTGAAAACAAGGAAGGACCTTTAAAGAGCTTTGGAATCACAGACTCTCCACTCTCAAAAGCAAAGGATCCTCCACAATGCTGGCTGTCATTTCATTCCTGCAAAACCTGAAAGTGAGATCTACTTTATGCATGTCCTTAGAAGCACAGCTAAAGGCAGAGCTATGAAGACTGTGCTTACAATCTAGTCAGCATTAAGTGCGGTGTGAAAATAACAGACCTTTCTGAAAGCCATGCCATTTCTTCTAGACCAGCACTGAGGACCATTGTGTCATCAACACTGTGACTGATTCATGCTCTAGCTCAGTTAGAATCTTAAGTTATAATCTTGAGCAAGTCCGTTTCTCTTTGAACCTCTTGAGTTGTCACCTACTAGATGGAGATGGTACCATAGGAAACGGTTACCATTCCTGTGTCTACTAGGGGAAATCAGTATGAGGATGAGATGGAGTAACATGTGACAGTGTTTTAGAAGCTAAGAGCTTCCATGTGCTCTTGTTCATATAACACCTACAAATTCACACCCAGGAAGACTCTGCCCTGTGGAGCACCTGATTCTGGATGGGTGATGAGGAGCTCACAGCCAGTTTCCTCTCAAAAAATCCTCTCCCAACACTTGCACTTACTAAGCCAAGTCACTTGTAAAGTCAGTGAGGGGTTGCGTGAACTGAGATGGGTCCCCTCTAGAAGTGGTCTAACAAACTCCGTTTGGGGAGAACAATTATTCTATTATCCAAATGCAGCCAGACCCACTGAGTAGCCCTCTGTAGATCACATGGCCAGGGATAGAATGTGTGTGTTGTAAAGTCATCATCAAAAATCCCATGCCACTGTGGCACTTGTCACATATATCTTCCTGTTTCAAACTTGTACCATCCCTGAAAGGCAGGACATCCACACTGACAGTCTCTCACCTATACTACCCAGAGACACCAGCCCTAGCTGTATCTTGAAAGATGGTTGACCAGGGTGGATTGAATCCTATGTCAACAGGGAGTAGGCAGTGGTGTCATAGCTGCTGCTGCTACTTCTTGCTTCTCTTTGACACCACAGTCCTGGAGGGTGCTATCCGCTCCTTCCAAACCTATACCCACAGTACCATACTTAAGTGTAATGCAAAAATCTCTCTTCTCTGCCTCCTTATGCAGAGAGATAATCATCTGGGTGTCATTCATCTTCATTTATTCAACAAATACTTAATCAAATGCCTAGTAGGAGGGTGGCAGTAAAATAAGTGTAAGGTTATGCAATACAGGAACCAAGGATCATTCCTAGGTGTTTGGCTTGGTAAACTGAATGGATGGTCATATCATCAAATGAGATGGAGAAGACTGAAAAAAGGAACAAGATACTTGAGTTTCTCTTTACATATATACAATGTAGATTTTATTTTATTTAGAGAGACAAAGAGGCTAAAAACCATTTAGAGAAGAACTCTGGTGACTTTAGGTGTCGTAATTTGTGAGTCAGAGAAATGACATCTGGGATTCCTCACTGATAATTCCCAAATGGAAGTCAAACATAGTTAATGGATCTGTTTGTCTGTTTTAGGTCCAAGCGAAAGTAATAATGAACTCATTGAGCCTCTTTGCTGCCATTTCTGGAATAATTCTTGTGATCATGGACATACTCAATATTACGATTTCACATTTCTTAAAAATGGAGAGTCTGAATATTATTAAAACTCCTGTGTCGTATATTGACATATACAACTGTAAACCCACTAAACCCTCTGAGGAAAACTCTCCATCCACAAAATACTGTTACAGCATACAATCCATGTTCTTGGTAAGTGTGAAATTAGATTTCTCTCCAGAGAAGAAATATGTCATTTTTATTCCAATTATAAACTTCAGATCCATAATGTCTAAGTCTGCTACTTTTTGAAAATGTGGCTTTGGCAAGAATTTTACTTATATGCCTGAAGTTGCGTTAAGGGTTCAGGTTATAAAGTCACTGTCTTCCATACTAATGATTTTCCCAGGGAGTCATTACTTAGCTAAAGAACAGATCTTTTAATCATTTATTTGATTTTAGTTATCAGTCATTCACAGAACACCAAACATACTCTCTGTGCCATTATTACATCCTCACCTTCATTCTTCCATTGTTTTTCAGGGCGTTTTGTCAGTGTTACTGATCTTTGCCTTCTTCCAGAAACTTGTGACTGCCGGCATTGTTGAGAATGAGTGGAAAAGAACCTGCTCCAGGCCCCAAGCTGTAAGTAGGAGCCACTCTGTCCACAACGCCCCTCTCAAAAATTCACATCTACAAAGGATCATATGTGGTTAATATGATCCAATGAGACTTTGGAACTGGGAACTTCACACACACCAAAAAAAAAAAAAAATGGTCTTGCTGTATTTCTAGAGAGCAGAAAATACTAGCTACTAGCAATGAAGAAAACTGTCTTTGAAATTAGAAATATGTCTATAGCCAGACAGAAGGGATAGTTCTATAATATGTGAACCTTCTCTCTAACCTTTTCTTCCACTTGCTGTCATGACTCCATACCTGATGTTTAATGATGGTTGAAGGTTAAATCACTAGTTCTTTGATTTCATTTCTCAGTAATCCTCTCTTCCTCCCACCCATTTCTCCCAGTTTCTCTTCCAAAATTGTAGGTAGGTCCAAAGAGGCTCCAAAGTTGAGAAATATGAATATCCCAGTGATAGATCTAGTAACAGCTGCTTTGGACCACAACCCATTAGATTTGGAACAGCACTTAGAAATCATTATTAATCCCTTTATTGTGTAGTTTTGGAAAATAGGATCAGAGAGAGAAAATTGCTCTGTCAGGACTGTAACCACTAAGAGCAAATTAGAACCAGGGTCTGAATCCTCTATTACTGCAGTGTTCCTTTCCCCTGCTAGGTGATCATGCCAGGCACAGTGGCAAATGCCTGCAGCCCAGGGGATTTACTCAGACGTCAGTTTTGATAAGTGACTTGATAAGGATTTCACCACTTGGGAAATTAATCCTGGTGTTGGGAGGCATATAGTAAGCAATATAAGTAGCCTAAAAACTTGAAGGCTTTTGAGAAATATGTATAAAGGTGTTTGAGAGAGGTGCCAATGGTAAAGGTCAAGAAAAATCTGTTTGTGTTCTAGAAGGTGGTTCTTCTGTCAGCTGAAGACAAGAAAGAACAGACAATTGAAATAAAAGAAGAAGTGGTTGAGCTAACTGAAGTTCCTTCTCAAACAAAGAATGAAGAAGACATTGAAATTATTCCAGTCCAAGAAGAAGAAGGAGGAGAAGAAACAGAAATAAATTTTCCAGAACCTCCCCATGATCAGGAATCCCCACCAATAGAAAATGATAGCTTTCCTTAAACTATTTCTTGTGGGTTTTGCTGCCTCTTTTAAGCATTAGTATTTAGCTTCTAAGAGACATAGTTACCCCATTTCTTGAGGCACTCTGAACTGGTTCTCCATGTTTCCATCTGGTCTTTGCATGGAATAACCACAGCCCCATCTCAAGCGCATTCAGCAAATGTGGGAATTGTAACAGATTGTGATGTCCTATTTCTTGTTTGGGGAAACTTTCATACATTGGAAAAAAGCAGAATAAGTGCTGCAGAACATGATTTCCCACTAGATTTTCCCTTGGCTAGGCTTTTCAGTAGTAGTGCTTTGTGGTTGTTTCTTCCATTAGCAACAGGACGACTCAGCATCTGGTAGAAAAGGTCCATGACTGACCCATGCCATTCCTTTAAGCTATCTTTAACTCCTTCCCCATCTACATTTTTGTTGAAGTTCCTTTTGTTTTAAGGGAAATAAAATGATAACGATACGCAATAAAGAATCAATCCATCAATATCTCACAGGGCTGACGCCATGACACATTCTTGGAGAATCAGCATTCCATTAGGGAAGTTCTAAGTGGTCACTACCCAGTCCCTTAATTGTCCAAATGGTACAGCTTATATTTGAACATGTCTCTTAAAGTTCCCCAACTCCTACTCTGACCCTTGGTTACGTTGTCTCCCTCCTTTTAACCTATAGGCAAAAGAAGAAAGAATGATTAGAGAAAATACCATGAGTACTCAAATCTCAGGTAATAGTCAAAACATGTATTTATAGAATGCTTTACAGGTGACTGTTTCATAAAATAATTTCATTTCATTATCTATGTTCAAGAAAGAATGCTTATCCCTATTTTATAAGTAATTCAAAGAGGTGAACACATACCTGTCACAGTCACAGCTAGCAATCCTGAGAACCTTGTTTCATTCACAGATCTTCATATTCAAATTCTGGTGATGTTCATAGCAACCAGACTGCAGTGTCTGCATAAATTACCAGAGCCATGTCATCAGTTGTTATCAAGAAGCTACTCTGACCAGAAGATGTTAGGAGAGTTACAAAGAGAGTCAGAATCAGAGTTTACCCCTTTGGATAAAAACCTTAGAAATTCACAACAGTCATAAAACTAGTTATGGCATGAGTATTTAATTAGCTGGCAGACTATATAATGCAGACACTAAGTATCATAGACATCCTCAGGAAGAAGACCAGGTGTGAAAACAGCATAATTAAAGTGCCAAGTCTCAGGCAAAAGCCATCCTGCTTTTCAATTCCTGTTCATGTTCAGAGATACCAAGACCTTACCTAGGAAGAATGTTAACCTAGGAAGACATTGAGATCATCCTTCAACCTAAAGCTGTAATCTACCAGTTCCAAATGTGGTAGGTGTATGGGACAAGGTAATTTTCATTTCCTGCGATATTTCCACTTTGTTAAGGACTATCTGTGGAAGATATTTCCTG